TAGAGAAAGGGCAAATAGTAATATTAAAATATTTCCTCTAGTTAATCCCCTTTTAATGTGCATGAGTTTTGTGCACTGGGCCACTAGTTATATTATAAACCTAAACTGCTCTAAAAATAGTCACGTATATGACTAGTACTATTAGATAATGAAAAAGTTCCTACTCTTGGCATTTTTTCTGACAAGAATCTTTACTGAAATAGTGGCAGTCAAGGGTAGAAGGAAGAGTTTCTCAGAATATTGAAGTCATATTAAGTCATTCTACTTTTAATGACCAAAAGTGTCCCCTGAGTAATATGAAAAAGTAAAAGAAAAGCCACTTTTAAAGGAAGTGATTTTCTTTATATTCTTGCATGTCAAGGTTGATGGTGCTGGGGAGCCGCCAATACCAATACACTTGACATTATTACCAGTAGGGGACTTTTCATCCCCATCCCAAAACCAATCCTGTAAACAAGGATAATGAAGACATTTTGTGACTCCATCACTCCTCTTTTGTAAGTTGCAATGCTGATAACCTCCAACACTCTACTCTTAAATAACAAAAGTAAAATGTTGGCTCAGTTCTCTGATCTTCTTTAAAAAGTCCATGTATCATCCTTTGGCATCTTCAGTTTTGACTCATTCAGGATATTGTGCTCTTTTCATGAGTACACAATGAGCTAAGTTTTCTCAAGGGTGGAGCTATGTACTTAGGGAGAAAAGTTTATAAGATTTTCTCTCAACTCTAATAAATTAAAATTATCTTCCTTAAAAAACAATACAATTTCCCTATTTCCTAGGAGGGTAGTACAACTGGTAGATCAGAGAACATCAAGAACATAATATCAAATTGAATGTAAACACGTAGTAGTGATTTGCAAGTTTGAGCAGCACGAAGGTACCTCTGGTACCTGTGCTATTATTAAGATTGGAGTTTGGGGTGATTGTCTTATATCTCAGTTCAAAAAAGGTTAATGGGATTTCAAATCATGCATCAGGGAGGGCAGGCAGGACCAGCATTCTTTATGTAATGAGTATGAGTTCCTTGGCTTGTTTTGCAATTCCTTTACTAAGTATATGACTTTTTACATAAGTCAATACTTCTTCTTTTTTTATTTCTTCCATTTATTTGATGTTTTCCATTGCTCCCTTTCAAAAGAGTTAAGAAAGTATCAAATAGCCTGGCCAGTGTGACTCAGTACTAGAGCGTTAACCTATGAACCAAGAGGTCACAGTTCGATTCCCAGTCAGGGGCACATGTCCAGATTGCAGGCTTGATCCCCAGTAGGGGACATGGAGGAGGTAGTCAATCAATGACTCTCATCATTGATGTTTCTATCTCTCTCTCCTTCTCTCTTCCTCCCTGAAGTAAATTTAAAAAAAATTTTTTTTTAAAGAAAGCATCATTTTTTGGGGGGGAGAACCAAGATGGCGGAATAGGTTAATGCCGGAGATTGCTGCCTTGAACAACCAATTCAGGGATACACCTAGAAGACGGAATGGACATCATCCAGAACCCCAGGAGGGCTGGCTGAGTGGAAATTCTAACACCAGGAGGAAAGAGAATATCATACACAGACTCAGAGAAGACGCAGTG